ATGATGAAGGCTCACAAGCGACACCTAACCAATCTAGGAGACACCACTCTCAAAAAGGTAATAGATGGTGTGTAGATGATGAACTCCTTGCTCTTGTGCTTAAAATGATAGTCTCCCCAACACTCAACTCTCTCTCACACAAATTTGGCTATGGTGGAAGAGTGATTTGAGTGGAAAGCAACTCAGGGAAGGCTAGAAATCAAGGTTCAAATGGTTGGAATAGAATCCCTTGATCTCAACACATGAGTAGGTGGTTCTCTCTCAGAAAATGAATGGTGGAAGTGTAGGAACATTCTGATGGCTCTCCTCAATGAGGAATAAGGGGTGGAGGGATATATATAGCCTCCACACAAAATCCAACCATTACACACTTTTGACTCATCTCGGTGGCACCGATCTGTTCCAAAATATGAACGTTAGGAATCTCAGTGGGACCGACTAGAACAACTCGGTGGGACCGATATGCTAGGTCTTAGGGCCAACATCATCTCGGTGGCGCCGACTGCATCAACTCGGTGGGATCGAAGTGAAGAAATAAGCAACAAAGAGTCTGTCAAGCCAACTTGGTGAGACCGATTGCATAAACTTGATGGGACCTACCGAGATCTGTATTGGTGTGACCGAACTCTTAGGGTTTCTGGCAATGGCTATGTCAAATGAACTTTGTGGCTCCGACTAAAACGAATCGGTGGGGCCGAGTTTGGAATCGGGGTTTGGACATATTTGGATGGAGAAAGTGGCTGAGGGTTTTGAAGCAATATCACTAAACACTTTGAGCAAGTAGACCATTAAGCAATGCCTCATCCCCTTTTAATAATATTGTCTTTCCTATGACTCAATGTGATCTTGGATCACTTAAATACAAATGAAGAGTCTTGAGCTTTTGCCAATCTTTTTCCTTAGCATTTTGAGGGGTCCACATCTCTAGTCCATGCCATGCCAATCATTGAACATCCTGAAATATTTGTCTTGAATGGATATTAGTTCAATGAGCTATATGTTGTTATGAATTACCAAAACCATCCGGGGATTAGTTGCACTTTCAATCTCCCCTTTTTTGGTAATTGATGACAGAATATAGATCAAAGCTTCGACAAATGATTAAATGAATGAAATACATCATCGCTTTGAGAAGTATGTGATAAGCAAGAACTCCCCCTAAATTTGTGCATTATTAAAATTTTGCATTTGAATGCAAATGCACAATCGATTATGATCATGGGTCACTCTTCCATGTCACATACATCTTGGTGGAGCGCACAAAATGATATGAGTGAAATAACATGCACGCATCACCAAAGATATAAGTGAATGATCATACACAAATAATTGTAGGGATAAGCATTAAGCACACATTAAGCAAAGTATGATCAACCACACAACCAAACATAGTATCTCATTAGCATCAACCGATCAAGTAGCACGGATCAAATGAACATAGTAGCAAAAACTCAATAAAACCAAAGAGAAAAAGTGAGACTCTCTCTCTCTATCTATCTATCTCTCTCTCGGCCTATGATCTATACAATTTATCCCCCTTTGGCAACAAGTACCAAAACCATCGAAAAGGTATAGAGCTATGCGTCTCTCTAGGCACAATCCTCTGGAGCTCCTGAAGGGGTATTTTGGCTTGTGGCTCTGGTGTGCATAGATGGCGTGGAGAGAAGTGCATCTGCAAATGCCTTTGAATATGTATGCTGGACCGGTGGAGTAGACACTGGAGGTGGCACTGGAGAAGTAGCGGCAGGTGCAGAGTGAGTAGGCCTCGTGTCTACAACTAGCACAGGTGAAGATCTGTGTGCCCTGGGTACAGTCTGGAACCTCCGAGTGGTAGGTCTCTCATCTCCACTGTCCTCGGCAGCAATCCTGCTTGCCTCAACATCTTCCTGCAGCTTCTCCACAACTGTCTGAACCTCAGTGATCTTCACATCAAGATCATGAATCTTTGTCTCGATAACCCGCTCTAGAATCTCCTGGTTTTGCGGGATGTTGGCCAGACTCCTCTCAGTCCTCAGGGTGGCCTCTAGCAGATATGTCATCTGATCATTCTTTGACTTAAGGTTTGCAATGGGTGCATTGGGAGCTGCGGCTTCCTGAGTTGCTTTAGCCGCTGCTACTACCTAGGCCTCCTCTTGGGCCTCAATATATGTAGGGTGTAAGGGATCCATGAACACCACATTATCCTTGAACTCTAGCTGAAGAGGGAGGTGCTCACGATCTAGTAGATATGTGTATGTACCAACTTGGAGTTGATAAGCATCTGAATGTGTGGGGCATATCCACAAGATCTCTTCTAGTTAGCAGTTGTCCTCTTGACCGTCTCTACAATCAAACTCATAACTTTGAACTTCTGAGGTGGGGAGTCAAACAAGTGAAGCAAATTGATGAAGTGGCCACGTATCATCTTGTCATCTCCAGACTTGGGCAAAAGGGTATGCCTCAATATAGTTGGTTGTGGACAACCTAGCTAGCAAGTGCTTGACTGACCCAAGCTTTTGTGTACCAAGATCTTGGGAATTTCCTTGTACATATTTTCCATTGAGTTATGGTCCATCTTGGGCTTCCCATAAACATCAACGTCATATTCATCTTCCTTAGGGGCATTAATAAGAGTAGCCCACTCAGAGATTGATGACTGGTACTTGGAACCCTCAGTCATCCATGCAATCCTCCACTCTGGATAGGAGTGTGTTGTGGAGTAGAATTGCATGATCATCATTCCACTTGGTGAGCTTCTGACCAACAAATGCATCAACTCCGGCAAGTCTGAAACTCTCATGAATGTGGGGGAAATAATCATCATTTGCATCTATGTATTTCTAGTCCAGCCACATCATGTCACTTACAATGGGCTTCTTATCAAGCAAAATTGTCTCATAGAAATCGTGGTGTTCCCTGTCGTGGAAACGTTAGTCACAAGCAGTCCTTCTCCTAACTGAATAGGGATCCACTTTCATCCACTCTCGTAGACCCTTGCCCTTCCTGAGCATCATGTTTTCTGCAACAGGGTGTGCATTGTCATGGTCTGGGATCTTGAGCTTGAGCTTTCTGAGCACTGGTGGCTCATCATCATCTTGAACTTCAGGCACTGGGGCCTTGTTCTTCTCAGCAGCTGGAATGTTTCTTGTTGACCTCTTGGGTGCAGAAACCTTGGGCTTTGACTTGGTCTTGGAGGGAGCAGCAGCTGACTTCATAGCATCAGCCATGAGTTTCTGTGTCTTAGCTGGAGGTGCTTCAGAATGCTCTTCCTCCTCCTCCTCTTGATCATCTTCCTTCATGGAAGGTCGACCAATAATTGTAGGAGTTGTCTTTCTATCCTTCTTTTTCTTCTTGCCGGCATCACCTTCTTCATCACTTGGTTCTTCCAGTGTGAAGGTCATTGTCTCTTGTGGAGCTGAGGTCTTCCAAGGTTTTGATGTTGGGTCTCTCCTCACAGCAGTTTTCTTCTTGGCACCTGACTTAGTGGTAGCTGCAGACCATACTCCTTTCTGAGTACTGCCTTCTTCTTGGAAGTGACCTCATGTGCAACAAAATCTTCGTCCTCACTTTCTGAGGTTCTCTTCTTTCTTGTCCTGATGGCAGCCTTTGGTAAGTTGCTTGGAGTGCTCCTGCTGCCATCATCATAGCTCCCATTGGGACTAGATCCCTCACTAAGCTCAACATTCTGTTCAGACTGGTTCTGACTGTCACTAACACTAGACATCTTGCAAAGCTGGTCCTGTGAATAGATGGGTATGGATAGAGTAGATGAGTTATCACAAAACGCAGATAGTTTTCCAAAAAATTGAGTCCAAACATTAGTATTAGTTTTCCACAGAAAGCATTTCAGAGCTACCGAGTTAATTATTTCGGTGACACCGAAGCACTCACAGAGCCTAAACACACCATATTGGTTGGAATGAGTTGTGGTTCGGTGGCTCTGAGATGCTAGGGTTTCACTGAAATTTTACTTTCGGTCTCACCGATCAGTACGTTTCAGTGGAACCGAGTTCTAGTTGTGCAATGGCCCGGGCCAATTGGTGGGACCGAAAATTTCATTTCGGTCGGTCCGAGATGAGTTCGGCGGAAACCTAACCCTAATTTTTTCTTCGAATCTATTCTAATGAATTTTTTTGGTGGATATATGAATCTGAAACGTGGCAAGATACTAGGAAAGATCCTTGTGCAATGAATCAGAGAAAGAAAGCACGAGGAGATCGAATCTCACCCTAACTCGGTGACGATCCTCTACGGCGGCAACGATGGAGTAGATTCCGTTGACGGCAACGGATTCCTGCGACGACGACGCACAGGAGACCATAGTGATGATCCAAAGACCATTGGGGCAGTAGCAATGGGGTGCGGGCTCGAAACGTTTGAAGAATTTTTCAACCGTACGGGTCGCAAGATATATATACCCATGTGCTGTTTGATGAGCCTGCGTAGTATTAGGTAGTTGGTCACGTAAAGATTGACCAAGCCAATGATGCAAAGGAGTATTCTTTATGTTTCTTTTTAGTCTGCATATAAAATTTGTCTGAGATCAAACTTCATCAAGTTTTATCAACTTACAAAAAAAACAAGCAACGAGATTGCAGTCAGCTAGTAGCACCTATTTTTGTAGAGTGATACTAATAATGTACTAGTAATGTTCATCTGAAACCTATACATCTGATGTGGCGGCTGGAGCCACAAAGGTGTGAGACCATCAAAGAGTGAACAGTTGCTGCAACACACGCAATTTGAAAGAAAGAAACAAGAAAACACAAACACATATTATATTTCCTTGATACGGGTTGTTTCTTCAATTACAGGCCTTAATTAGTACCACCAAATCGCCAAACCGGTACATGTTTCATTCCATCTCCTTAACGGCAATCGGGCAGATCGCGAGGGACACAGTTTCACATAAAACTGGGAAAAGATCTGCAGGCAGCAGACGCCGAATCTACATTTCAAATCCCATGGGAGTGACATAGATAGCTGCTGCTGGAACTGGAGATGGGCCAGCAAACACCCCGCTAGAAGAATGTCCCTTCTGGAGGCTGCACTAGCTTGCGGTTCTGCGTCGCCGCCATATCTTTCTTCAGCTGGGTCAAGACATGTTCCATAGTGTACTCCCGCTGCCAGTTTGCTAGCAAACTGAACTTCTTTGGGTCAACCTGCATCACCACGGCAAACAATGAATCTATGCCACACATCAAGAAAGCTCATCTTCTATGCATGGATTGACATGGAGAGAGAGAGAGAGAGAGAGAGTGAGTACCGCCCCAGTCTCGTGATTAACACAAGCCATGTTGATTCTTGAATGGAATCTAACAGATGGTGCCTTCTCAGGGTAGTCCTTGTCACAGAACAGCTTCAGCTGGTAGATGCGACCCTCATGGACAGTCTGCAAAGGTTGAGTAAGATAAAAGACTTTAAATAATATAAATGGCAACGGCTGAAGGAAGAAGAATGTCACTACACATTTTCACCAATAGAACAGGAAGGAACTATAGTCATCTCATAAACTCACATTGTGAGGGCCAATAATGGTGCCAGTCCATGACCGCATGTATATGTCATCAGCATCATCCATTCCATAGCTGACCGTTCCATCTCCAATGCCCTTCTCCCCGCGCTCAAGCTCTTCTAGCAGCCTGAAGTTCCGAGGAACTGCAAGCAGGTTGAAATATTAGTTACCTCCATATAAGAAGCTAAAATGACTAAAGAAAATATGTAAGTTCAGTTCATTTTCCAAAGATGGAACATAAAAATTATCGAAGAATCAGCAGCAATCCTTGAGCAGTAAAAATTCAGAGAAAAAAGTTTAGGCAAGACTGATACAAATTTAACCTCCGGATATGCAAGGGTAGCTCTATGATTGCATAATTAACCTTTCAGATTTTCTATGCAGTAATTAATCACAAGCATGATACCAATACACTCTGTGATCCTTCATACACAGTCTGGGACTAGTAAACCCTGCTGTGTCTTCTATACTGGACCTTTCCAGTTCCCACCGACAGTCATGCTTCCATTTTTCGTCAAATTAATTTCCATTGACAAAGCTCAGTTGGTACAACATTAAATAAGAAAAAAAACATATTAAATGAACTTCGGCAAGCAAAAATCACACAATTGAAACAAAGCAAACTCAGTCCATCTGTGGTTACACAACCCCAATTTATCATCAGAACATCAAGAGATCTTACGTTTGAGATTAAAAAAAACTGCAAATCTAGAGCAATATGGTTAGGGAATGGATTTTTTTTTTGAATGAAAATCAGGGTATGGATTTTCTGCATGCTTTTAAAGAGAAATGGAGAACACACATCCAAGTTTCCAAGAAATATGGAAATATCAATTGGCATTTTCCGTTGGTACCTAAGAAATCATACAAGTGTCAACACTTTACACTACATATTCAATTACCTGTAGAGGCATGACACATACAATACGCAAAACATGGTTATTAGTGCGGGAGGCGACCTCACCATCTAACGCACAGTAAGGTAACCTGTGCCTGTATGGTTGGTTACCATACATACATTATCTTACAACCAAAAAGATAAAATAAAAAGGGAAGATACCTATACCCATCATGAAGAATTGGTAAAAGAATAAAGAAAATGGCTATGAACTATTGGGCCAGCCAACCAGCAGGCAGAAAAAGAACAAGGAAAGAAGAGGGATTTGGAAAAGAACTTTCTTAGCCCATCAGGCCCATTTATGTCATCATGCCTCCCAGGGAGAGCAGTAGGGCCTTAGGGCTTCTCCCCATAACAGCACTGCCACCAACAAACATGGACAGCAGAGACAACACACAAGTCTCCCTCTGGTATACCCTCCCGCATCCTCGTCATCAGCACCACCATTTCCTCCCCATTGCTGACAACGCCTCTCCCTCCTCTCCGCCAGAGTAGTGTGGAAGCCATGCAACATCCTCACGCCACCACAACGCCATGTTCCTTAGGAACACGCAAGGACGAGGGTGCTGCCAAACTGCGCCATAATGAGGCCAACATGACACCATGGACCCAAGGCAGACACCATAGGAAAAAATTCCCTCGAAGCACACATACTGAACACTGTAGTAGCAGTCTCGATTTCACCACGCATGTAGCATGGCCAAATCTTGATATATGTAATATCCAAGACACAAAGGAAATATTCTAAGAACATGGCTTGCCCAACGAAACATGTGCCACGTGTCTAGGATAATATTCTAAGAAATGAATTTTTCTTGCCATAATCTCCTTTCGGTAAGATGTTCTATAGCGCCAACCTCATTCTCAGTATTTCCAACATCTGATTAAGAGAAAGAAAGAAGTGCAAATTGCTCAATTAGTGAAATACCACCTATCTACAATTTACACAGCATTCTGAATGGTCTACCAATACCAAAATTCTTCTGCTTAAGTAAAGGAAATGCAGTACCCTGGACACATACAGTTTGCTGCTTACAATTGACCACTTCGGGCAATAAGCCCCCACTCCCATACCTACCGCTACACAAGTCCAATTGAGTTGTGAGTAAGACCTGCATAATAGCCGTAAGCATCACTTGCTAGCACATACGCTGTTACGCCTTTTTCTAGAATTAGTTGGTGAAACAGAAAAGAGAAAATCCAACACTACATCACAGTCACCCCATATCATGGCTTCATCAACCATATCTATCTATCAGCAGGACGGCAGACAATCATAGAAGTGCGGCTTGCAATCAATCACATCGCCTAACAAAGATATCAGGTGATCACTTGAACAGGAAGATCTTATATGGTATCCAACCATGCGCCAAGCAACTACCGCCCCCTAGTTAATCCACGCGTCGGCGTCGCCTGGTCACTTGGAACCAACCAAATTCCTCGCACAACTTTCCTGAGATGCATGTTCCACCTCAAACCGCATCAGATCGTGAACAAGCAGCCGGATCGGACCGCGGCGCAAGGCGACACAGACAGGACCAAATCGCGCGCGGTAGAGGGAAGAAGGAACAAACAGAAAACGGAAGGTAGCGCGCGAAGGAGGACGGGGATCGCTCACCGACGACGCTCGATCCGGCGCCGGAGCTGCCCAGCGTCATCCGATCGACCGGAGCGGCGGGCGGGCGGGCGGGCGGATCCGATCGAAGGAGAGGGGGACGGTGCGGGGGATTTGAGGGGATCGCCTGCGCGTGGGGAAAGGGAAGGTCTGCGGCGGCTCAACGCGAACGAGATTCTTCCCTGTCCTCTTGTGGGGGATGGAATGCTTCGGTGGTGGCTATCCGCCGTTGGATCGGGAATCGGGTGATCAGGTGGACGAGCGACGTGACATTAATTAGGTATTTAAAAAAACTTTGTGCGGTTGCCTGTGAGATTTGAGACCTTTTCTCAAGATTCACCCATGATTTTTAATGGCAGCAGTTTGGACTTTTTTGTGTGCGTAAAAGCTTTTGTTGACGCAATTACACTGCTGCCGCGCATTCCGGTATACATAATGCTTGCTATAACTGGGACAGACCACGGGCATTCCGCATAACGCCGCATATTTTTATATAATTATGTGAGATTACACGGACCGTTCACTTAAAAGCAAATCTTGTTCACGGTTCTTGTGTACCCACTTAAACTAACACTCATTCACGCCGCAACCTGACAGTAAATGAGTATGAACGAACATATAAGAAAGTTCAGACGACGCTACTACCTGTTTTAACACTACTGCACACAAAAGGTAGCCAGTTCTTTGATGATTTTCAAGAGTGGTTCCACACCGTGAGGCAACTGCAGGAATCCATCAACATCTTCTCCGATGCAGGCCCCGACATCCGATTGGTCGACGATGAGAAGGGCTTTGTCGGAACCACATGTTGGTTCGTCGTCAACCAAACGACAGTGTCGGCATCGAGAAGTACATACATAAGCTTTAGACATCTAATTCTTGACTTCCATAAAAACAAACCAAGCATTTAATGTGGTGATTGTAAATCCCTGTTATACACCAAACTTAACTTCCTCGCAAAAACACACATCATATTAACTAGTACTATAGCATATAGAAATTAAGAGATCGGAAAATTCGCTAGTACACTTTGCCAAAAATAAGGGAGAAGAAATCATCAACTTGTTAGAAAAAGTGGAGGTGACAATGCAAGAGGAGTTCCATTTGGTGGTGCTTCTTAGGTACCTGGCCTTGAGCTCCGGAGGTAAACCCTAGGTTTGACCCAAGTTGGTTATACTTGGCAATGGCGACGTTTTTGCATTATCACTCTGTCGAAGACATTGTTTGGAATTTGTTTAGACATGATCTTTAGAGAGAAAACTCACGATACGACCTTCGGAGATTGGATCAGGCAATGATGACGTGTACACGTCGTTCCCTTTCTGAAGACGTTGTTTTTGAAGAACCTTTCTTGTAGTCCTTGTATTGCCAAGAGATGATTACTGCTGATGGTCTTTGATTCGTTGATCAGAGTTTGATAATTTTGGTGTTTCTTTCTCCATGGCCTATACATAACTTCGGTCTTTTATGACTTTGCTCTTGCAGTTGCAAACGTGTTTTCTTTATGCGCATGTGTTAGTTTTGGTTGTGTGCAATATAGTCATGCAATGACCGGGTGTATAGTCATTATATTTTCATTCTCTTGATGCTTCATTACGAGTCAATAAAAACATTATTTATAGAAAAACATAAACATGACATCATGGTAACAGAAACATGTAGTATATAGTTTACATATTCTCAAATTTCCATGGTACATTTCGACTAAATGTAAGTTGATCTCTGATGTGTAGGTTAACAGTAGTTCGGTACTTTGCGGTGTTAGGAAATGAAAAAATAAAAATAAAAGCAATGCAAAAGAGAAAATGGCACGGTAATCAAAGCGCACACGAGTTGGGTGATATTTTTACAAAGCCAATCTTGATTGTGGCGATTTTGTAAAGCCACATCCTCAAAGTGCCAAATAACTAGATTTCTCTTGAAGCTTCTAGAAAGGAAAACATGTATATATGAATATTGCTCAAGCAAATATTAACCAACTGAGATACTCCTCCAGTAGATAGGATATTTTCACTCTCTCCTCAACTGGCCTTCATCATGAATTACTCTTATCTTTTTTTTGGAAACATAGTACGAACATGGAGGCTCATAACACACATGCAAACTGATCTCTATAAACGCGCACGCACACCCTATTCATATGGGCACTTTCAAAAGACCGAGGCAATAAATTTTAAGATTGATGAGGCCGCTATATGCACCTCACAGTTGACGGGCACATCATACGTTTGAGAGTAACGCCAGAAAGTCTAAAATTAATCCAAGAAATATGAGAGCACCTGTGGCAAGTTTAGAACCTGAACCCAGGTGGTTGGTTCCACCACAAGAAACCTAACCACCTAAGCGCTTAGGTCAACACTTAATCTTTTTACATCAATAGGAATCCTCCAAAATTTGAAAAGGGACCGACATTGCAAGTAAATTTCATTGTATGCCTCCTTCATCCCAAGCAACAAATTTCATTGTCAACTTATATACTTTACATATACGAGTGTCATTCATGTAGTATATTGCCAGCTTATATAGTTCACATATACAAGGAAACAAATGTATGTATTTTTTATTGTCAAGAGTTAACTCGAGGAACACAATATTTTTGATCTCTATGTGGTTAATCAACTCCTTCTAGCCTTTCACCCGGACCCAATGGAGATATTCATCGTATGAAGATGATCATCACATGTGAAAGTGAAATAGGAAAGAAGCAAGAAGCAAGACACACCTGGACAAGGCGTTGCAGGCCCTCCCGGTCGCTGGGTTAAGCCTCTGATGGAGTGGAATAAGCTGAACGTGAAACCTAACCACCTAAGCGCTTAGGTCAACACTTAATCTTTTTACATCAATAGGAATCCTCCAAAATTTGAAAAGGGACCGACATTGCAAGTAAATTTCATTGTATGCCTCCTTCATCCCAAGCAACAAATTTCATTGTCAACTTATATACTTTACATATACGAGTGTCATTCATGTAGTATATTGCCAGCTTATATAGTTCACATATACAAGGAAACAAATGTATGTATTTTTTATTGTCAAGAGTTAACTCGAGGAACACAATATTTTTGATCTCTATGTGGTTAATCAACTCCTTCTAGCCTTGCACCCGGACCCAATGGAGATATTCATCGTATGAAGATGATCATCACATGTGAAAGTGAAATAGGAAAGAAGCAAGAAGCAAGACACACCTGGACAAGGCGTTGTAGGCCCTCCCGGTCGCTGGGTTAAGCCTCTGATGGAGTGGAATAAGCTGAACGTGAATGGTGCTTTCGACACCGAAGCTAGGACGAGGTGGGCTGGCATGATCCTTCGGGACGAGATGATCGTGCTCTCCTCCTGCAGACATTTACACGTAATGTTGAGCTTTTGGTATGCATGGAGGGAATCGCCTTGTTCAAGAATGGGGCCCGAAGCCGATCATCATTAAGACCGACTCGGAAGTGGCGTCCAAGGCAATCATGGGACAGGAGCCTGACCGTTCGGCTAATGCAACGATTATTAAGGAGACTAGATGACCCGGTGCGCCAAATGGCGCAGAGACCCATTTAAAACCATGTTCATGTGGAGAAATAGTTGCCTTTTTTTAGTAACTTTATGTTTGATCAAGAATAGAGACCATGTCAAACCCGAAGTGTTTTCAACGTGTATTTGGACAATGTGCCATTTGGCTCTATGTTACCCAAGTAAGGTGCAAGGTCCAAATTCAAGCATCAAGGGTAAAACCTTTTGTAACAGAAACGTTTGCATTTGTAGGGATAGCATTTCTGCCAAGTTATACATGACTTTCAAAGATCAGTAAACTGAATCCGAAATTTACAGGTTGTAGAGGAAAAAATTCCTGAAATGCCATTAGATAGGTACACAAACAATGAACATAGGGAAAAAAAATTAGTGCATGATCCCAACCTTCTTGCTAACAACCAGCACAACAACAACCACTCCTAATAATTGGCATTGGATAACTGATATTTTTTGTGTAGATAAATCATTAATCTCCATAGGGGTAGGAGCTCCCTTGTTCAATTGAGGGGTATGACTTTGACCGGATCATCACGCTTGTTTCTGCAACATCACACTTGTTTTTGTGAATAAAAACTCTTAGAGAATATAGACCCTCAAAAAGGAAAAACACTCCTTGGGAATGGATGGTTGAGACCGCTCCGACATGTGTTTTCGTTCTGTCGCTTGCTGTTCAGGGAGAGTAAACTCTAGGTGGCTAGGGCAAACTCTCCCCTCAAAACTTCACTGGCGAGCCTGTGGATTCACCTTCCCTTTGCTGCCGCTCCATCAACCGGTGGTGGGAATGGGAATCTCGTTGCCTTCGATCCGGTTAGTTGTTTAGGCCACGTTTTTTAGTCCTCGCAGGTGCGACACTCGAGCGGATGATGGCGCTACTTCTTCGAGTTTGTCTTTCATGTCCCAATCCTACTCGAGTTCGTCCATTTGAACATAGCCGACAAAGCTCTGGTGTAGATTCCTGTCGTCTCCTTGGGGTGATGAGGTTAGGGTTTCTCATCA